AACTAGTATCTAAATAGCCAAATGTGTCAGCACATATGTAAGCACGGTTGATTATGATAGGAACGCCGTGTACGATCTTTGTAACAGACTGATATACCTCCAAGACTTCAAAATATCGATCGCATACAAAATTCTTCGATGTCAAAAGAGAGATAAAAAAAGAAACAGTAAGGAAATTACGCTTTGCATCGGACAGTTTTAACTTCTATCTGTTCCTAAAATAGCATGTCAAAGAGAAAAATATGTAAGATAAAACGGGAAAAAGGAATGGTATTACATAATTAGTAAAATACGTAAAATATAATAAAATATAATTAATTTTCTCTTGTGAGCATAGTTGAAATCAAATTTTTCTCCTTAATACTTAGAACGAATTCTAGCTGATACAAATCGCTGATAAACGATCGTAATTTTAATAAGAAAGTGATTTCAATAAATAAGCGATTTCTCTCGTAATTAAAGCCAATTTCAACTCAAACAAAAGAGTACATTCTAGAAAAGATTGATTTATATGTCAACGTAAACCAATGATCTCGACAAGAGAATATCAGATGCTATTGTAGCCTAACAACGTTTTTGTCATAGATTTTAAGTTTTGTGTTCCGCATTCGTCGCGCATCATTACTTCTAATCGCGAAGAATAGCGTTCGCCAAGTCATTGAAAAACAAGGAAAGAAAAAAAGGAGAGACTAATCATACATCTTTAAAAATGTTCACCTTCGCAGTGAAACATGTGTTACATAAAGCGATCCATTTTTAAACAAACGTCGTCACCTTGCGTATATAAATACATATTTTAGATTTACAATCTCTTTTTGAAATCAAGCATAGGTAAACTCAATGTGCTTCATAAATTTGTCGTGTCTATTAAATTCGTTTCTGTCAATACATTTCTTAATGTAATAAACATGTTCAAGTAGATAGAGTTTGTAGGTAGAGTTCGTTTGTTCGGGAAAGTTTAGGAAATAATAGTTATCAAGTTTCAGAGAAAATAAATCGTAATTGTCTTAAATTTAAAGTGGACAATCTTGAAAGATGATAATTGGTGAAGTCTTCAGTTCTCTTCCTGTTGCATTTGGAGCTCGCGCAAGAGTTGTGCCCTTTGCTTTTCCAGCTCGTCTTCGGAGAGTTCGTGGTGCTCGTTATTTTCCGTAGCAGAACCTTCGCTGTGAATCGATGGTCTCCTATGCTTCTCCTCCTTCCGTTTCCTTTCCGGAGACTCTTCCGAGGATGGAAGCCCGGAGTGTGAGCGCTAAAAAAAATATCAGAAGAAACATAAAGAAAATTATCACCGATGAATCTCAGTAATATCATTAATACGTACCGAATGACTACGGCCTCTCTTCTTCTTGCTCTTCTTCCTCTTGGTTTTCCTCGTTTCTGATTCAGAGCTGTCAGATTTGCTGGGAATACTAGGAGAATGCGATTTGTGTCGTTTTCTCCTCAAACCTTTCTCACTGCCCTCCGACTCCTATCAAAACATCAATAATCATTTTTTTATGACCGTATATTAGAGATAATAAAAAAATGATTACTTGCGATAATACTCACGCTGTGCGATCGCGATCGCGACTTGCGCTTCAATTTCTTCGCCTTTTTCTTCTTACTTCTAATATGATGATGACTACAGCTTTCTTCAAGCTCGTGCTGATATTCCTTGAATATTCGTATTCTTTCGCTCTCCAAAGTGATTGCCTTGAAATCTTGCTCCTCTTCGATTTTAGACCTTACGTCCTCCCATGCCATTTGATAATCTACGTTTAACGTCTTCAGCAAATTTTTGAAACCAGTCTCCAGCTTCTTGAACTTTCGTGTCTCTTCTTTGACGCGCTCCTTCTCACGTGCTTCTGCCTTTTCCAGCAACAGATTGTATGTCAATTTAACATTACCCGCATCCAGAGTTGCTGACTTTCGATCCTCACATACGACCGTAGCGAATTCCTCGAAAGTCGTGTTGACTTGGACCTCGAAATTCTTGTCTTTGAGTATTTCACGAATAATCTTCTTTTCGTCATGGAATCGAGACTTCAAGTCCTCGACATAGAATTTGAAAAGATCCAGCGGAGTCGAACCTGACTGACCGAGCATGGCGGAGAATCGAAGATCGGCAGACAGCATGGGATACAATTCAACCCACAGAGACATCGACGTGAGCTTACCTTGTTCATGAAGCTCATCAAGTAGATACTAAAACGCAAAGTTGTTTATTATATAGAAAAAGTCGAACATTTTAAATCAATTTAACGTAACAGAGATATCGAAATGTATATTATTAATTATATATAATTATTTATATATAATTATTTATAAATAATTATTTATAAATAATTAAAAATTAGGGAACAGCGACACTCACTATAAAACCATCTCTGTTTTTTCTCTCCTGCCGTTTCCTACGTTTTTTCTCGCATTCTTTTTCTTCTTCCTCATCTTTCTCCAACTGACGAATATGATTCTCGAATACAATTAGGGCATCTTCTTTGTCCATCTCCAACAAATCTGCATCTTCGGCGAATGCAGGATGTTGGAGCAACAAAGCTTGCGCTTCCTGCCACGTGGTCCTGTATGTCACGTCAGTCATTGTATCCAAAACTTGTGCCAATCTCTTGGTATTCCTCTTTTTTAACTGTTTCGCCTCCTCTTTTTCACGTTTCGCCAGATTGAAGATAACATCCTCGTAAATATCCCGGCGATCCGAATCGCCGACTGCCCTCCAAACTTCCAAATTACCGAACATCTCCTCGCATTTGTAATACTTAGTCGTGCTTACCATTCTGTCATTTTCCAATAAGAATTGCTCCAAGTCCTCTTTGGCCTTTTTCAATCTGTCGAAGATATATTGCATTATTATCTGATTCTGCGATTCATATATCAATTCAATTTATATTTTATATTTACCTGAGTCTTTCTTGTTCACGTTCCTCCTTCAACTTCTGTGTTTTATACGAGTGGAAGGCTTGTTTACGTTCATTTAATTTCTTCATCTGCGGATACCTAGGGTCATTCTGAATCAATTTGACAGCCTGTTCCCATGTCGCGTTCGATGGCACGTCTCTTTCTCTCAATAGTTCTTTGAATGCCTCGACGGCTTCTTTTTTATCCTTGAACTGCATTTTAGGCTCGGGCGTGCTGGTGCGGCTGTCATTAGTCGAGCCCATCGCGGAATTACTATCCTCGTCCGGTTTCGTAGGCGGTGTTGGAATATTAATCGCTGCGAGTGTTGCAGCCATCGCCTGTTCGATAGCCGACTTTCCACCTGACTCCGGTGTACTAGTTTGCGATATAGTCGCAACGTTTGGTGATAAGTGTTGCATAGCTACGGGAACAATATTGCTGAAAATACAGGAAATTATGATGAACATATAGATTGTCAAAATAATGAAAAAAATAGATAGTCTCTATAATTATTATCTAATTTTACTCACGAATTTGTAGCGTTTGCTACCACTGCTGCAGCAGCCGCTGCAGCTTCCTCGGCTATAATACGTGTTTTCAATTCTTCCAACTCTGGCGGTATCGTCCACCTGGACTCCTTTGTACTCACATTATGGTAATACACTTTGCCATTCTCTGACTTATATTCTTTCCATGGGCACTGCGACAACAGCAATTCGCTTGGTGTTTTCAATTCGTCTGGTTTTTCCCATAATGATTGTTTTGTAACGCTATTGTAGTAATATGTTCTGCCATCGGGTGCCTTGTGTTCACTCCAATCGGTCTTCTTCTCTGCCGAGTTGACGGACATCGCTGCAGTGGCATCGCTGCCGATAGGTGATGGAGGAGGCGCAGTTATCCGTGGCGATGCGGCTGTAAAGTCAAGAAAGACACTTGAGCAACAAGGTTCATACATCAGCATGGATATTTAATGATAGATATTAACCTATGACTCCGGCCTCTTGAGGAGGTGCCGCGGTAATAGGAAAAGTAAAACCTGGCGGAGGTATGGAAAACTGAGGTGGCATTATACCCGGAGGACCTGGAGGTAAACTAGGAGGAGGGATGAAGGGTGCCGCGGGCATAATTGGTGGCACATAGCTAGATGCGATATTTGGCGTTGCCGGTGGAAATCCTGTTACGGCGGCGGGTGGCGGAATACCATCGTTTGAAGCCTAGTAATGTTTATATGTCAGTCAAATGCTCAGCAATTTTGAAAAGCGTAACGTAATGCACCTCTCACGTTCATCCGACGATTCGCAACTGTATTTCCGCTTAATTCGTTTCTCTCTCTCTTCTTTTATTTCAAACATAAGTAAACGGAAATCAGAGATAAAAAGGAATGAAGCAGAAAGTACCGCTGCGAGTCGGCGTACTTTCTAGTACACAAAAACGTTAGAGATTATACTCGTTATCACCGATAATTAATGTTACTGCCGCATTACTATATTAAAGGATTATTCAAAGCGAAGAAATTAACTTTCGGATGTAATCTCAAGTCATTTCGCAGAGAGGTTACCAGTTATTCTTATAGATCGTAATACACTCGGTCTACATGCCATTTATTTAGATAGTTCGCCAAGGGGGACTCCGTAAAACACAATTCGCGATCGTGTAATTACACGATCACAACATCGATCATTGATTTATACTTAAAAAAAAAAAAAAACATAAACAGTTCTATTCACAACCCATAACCATAACGCAACTCCGATTCATGTTCATTACTGAAGTTCATTATAGATTTTTCAACAGCAGCGCAGATGGCAATAAATTTCTACATTATCAATGGCCAACAAAATAGAGCAAGAAAATAAAGTTTGAAAATTTAGAAACGTTTGCAAAAAACCGACAAAAAAATCAATAATTATCAGAACATAATAATTAGGTTGCGATTTGGAAATTTCTAGAATTTTAAAGAAAAATGGAGCATAAAACATAAAAATCTAAATTTTTGAAACTCGACAAGTTAATATTAAAATAATATTATATAATATTATAATATAAAATATTATAATATAAAAAAATAAATTATAATATAAAATAAAGCTTATACAAAAAAGATAAAAGTGTAAAAAACAATTTCTTACGTAATTATCTACATATTCTTCAAGAGATAATTTTCTAAATTTTTTCTAAATTTAATTTAAATATTTTCATTATATGTGTTTATAAATGCTTAATTAGACGTTCTTCAAAATCGTTTACATAACACACTACATACATATATTTATCGACAATAATATGTGTTGATTTTCCATGATTTTCTTAAAAACCTAGTTCATGATAGTGCTAATCTAGACTTTATGTTATAAAATTTTTTAATTATTACAACAAAAGAACAAATGTAATTCTTCCTTATTAAAATAATATTTTTGAAAGTATCGAGATCAATAATACTTGTTTTAATGGAATATATATTATTCTGATAAATTTTAATATTTTTGTCATAAAATAAATATTCTAGCTTAATTATTCGAATAATAAATATGTTCGACGAAAAAAAATATTTATAGTCGAAATTTGCTATAAATAATTATAGCTTTTATTATATATATTTTGTTTTCAAGGATAAAAGTTCGAGTTTAAGTTTGATAATTATTTTGGGACAAAGGACATTTCATAAGAATTATCATGTAGTTTATATGTATATAATTATAATTTTTATTGAGTAACACAATAATAATGTAATAATTCATTATCTATTTAATGAATAATCTGTTATTGAAGAATGATATAAAGGTGTACCTCGTAAAGTCTGAGAATTAGCGTCATCAATTCGTACAACAATATAATCACCTGCCTGTATCTCCTTTGTAACAGTAGAATGTTGATTAATTGGAATAATTGTAGATGGCAGTATAACTCTTATATTACCATCATTTCTACCTTGTAACTTTTGATCAGTTCTTTTGCTTGCCTATTAAAGAAATAGAGAAAAATATATCATATAAAATATATATCATTATAAAATTTATTTTTCTTACTTTTAAATATTATAAGGAAATTATTGATATGTATACAGTGAGAAAGAGAAAGAAAAAGAAAATTTTTTCTTGTAGCTATATTAGATTGGAAAAATACTTACTCCTTCTACAAGAACAAGCTGATATTGTCCTATTTGTGCTTTATTTAATTTTTCTACCTCCTTTCTATATAATGTAATCATCCGCTTTAAACGCTCCACTTTTACGTCCGATTCGACATCATCTTTGTACTGCCTATGCGCTGGAGTTTTCTGAAAAATGTGTTAAAATATATATATATATATATATATATGTTATGAATAAACTGCAAATTTATAAAATTAATATTATAATATTTGGTAAAATTATTAATATAATTAAATTTATTTGATCTTCTCAATGATCCGAAAAGATTGTATAATATGAGAATTCATATATTATACCTCACGCATACTATAAGCAAATAAATAGGCGCAGTTGTATTTAACATCTTCTATTAGTGATAAGGTATCTTGAAACTCTTCTTCAGTTTCGCCGCAGAACCCACAGATAAAATCACTAGAAAGGTATATATTTGGAAGAATTTCACGTATGTGATACACCAAATCTAAATATGCTTCCCTAGTGTGCCCTCTTCGCATTCTTTCTAAAACCGCGGAATTGCCACTTTGAGCGGGTAAGTGAATCTGTTTGCAGATGTTCGGTCTTTCGGCTATCAAATGTAACACTTCATCGGGAAAGTCTTTAGGATGAGGTGATGTAAATCTGGAAATTTTCACACGTTAATATACAAAGGCAGTAAGATAATTATAATGGTAATTTGTAAATACCTTATTCGCATTTCCGGATTAATCAAGGAGACTTTATCGAGAAGATCGCTGAACCTTAAGCCGCCTTTTTTATTCTTATAAACCGTCTTGAAACCTTTAGCAAGATGGGTCTCTGTATTAGCTGTTAAGATAAATTCTGATTCTGACAAATCTCTGTAGCTATTCACGTTCTGTCCGAGAAGAGTTATTTCCTTTACACCTTGATTCGATAACAGTCGGACTTCGTCTAGTATGCTAGTAATCGGTCGCGATCTCTCTCTGCCCCTCGTGAATGGTACAATGCAATAAGTGCACATGTTATCACAACCTCTCATTATAGAACTGCAAATTACAAACGAGTGATTTCATAGAGCTAATAAGCTAAAATTAATTATATGTATATATTTGAAATACTGAGGGTATTTCTGAACGTGTACATATATTACATATATGCCCCAGTAGAATCTTGATTGAGTCTAACTGGCATTACATCCGCATATGTTTCATCAAATGATAACATAACATTAACAGCCGTTTCATTATCCGTTATTGCTAGGAGTCTGGGTAAATCCTTGTAACTATCAGGACCTGCTATTATTTCTACAAGCTTCCCTTCATCTAATATTTTAGTTTTTAAGCGTTCAGCCATGCATCCTAATGCAAAGATTTTTATTTATTCAAAGATTTAATAATTGAGATTTAATAATTATATCTTCTGTCAAGTATTAAATAAGCTCACCTAAGAGACCAATCTTCATAGGTGATCCAATCTTATTTCTTTTCCTCTTGTTCCTCAGGCTATTCAGGTACTCTAATTTATTCCACACTTTCTGCTCGGCATTTTCCCTAATGGAACATGTAATAAGAAGTACAATGTCCGCATCGTCAAGGCATTGTGTGTGTTTATAGCCATGTGACTTCAGCACTGACCATATTATATCAGCATCGTTCACATTCATTTGGCAACCATAAATTTCAAAGTATACTATAAACAAAAATTAAAGATAATAATAATGATTTCAAAGAGCAAGGACAAACAATAGATCTATTTAAATATCTGAGAAACCTTTCTGATTTTTGCCATGAACATCCTGCAAGTAGGGAACAGATTCCTCATTGGGAATATCAATAACGGATGGACTTAAGAAGTCCCTCAAAGAGGGTCCATCTCTAATATTCCTGACGGGTTTCTGGTCTATAACTGGTTCGGTTGACCGAGCATTAATTACAGATGTGTGCCAAGGCACGGAAATCGTTCTATGGATCGCACGACATCCTTGAAGCCACTGTGGGTCTATCCACCTTCGTTGCATCAAACAATTCCTCAAATTCCTGTACCACATTCCTTTTGACATGTCGAGCCGATCACTCTGAAATTAAAATTTTAATAAAATGATTAGAAATGCGGATGTCATTTTGTCAAAAATGCTCGATAAATACCTGTATTTTTAATAAATAATACGTCTCTCTTTACTTGTCAAATTGAATGTTGAGTTTGTTTGCAATTCTCATCGCAGGCAATATAAATATAGGAAAATATAAATTATCTCCATTTCTAAGTGTCAATTTTCTTTTTAAAGTTCTCTCAGAGAATTGGTGCTGTTGACCTCTCAGATTTTTCGGAGAGCAATTTCTAGGTTAGAAAGACCGGTTCACGTAAAACAATAAATATAACATGCAAAATGAACCTACTGCAACTGTTTGCAATTACACTTGGACAGAAATAAATATGCAATTAGAAATCGGATAGAAAAATAAGGTCGATAAACAACACAAACAATTCAGCTATAAAGGATATGAATCTAATAAAATGATTTTAACAGTTATCTCATTCATATCTTGTTCCTCGTTGCTGTACGTCTTCCTCATTGAAAATGAGGCAGATATATATAAGGTATATATTTCTTTATCGCATTAAAATTTTTTTTCTCGTTTTCATCAAATTTCAGATATACATTTCAAGTACAAGTGTACAGTAACGCAAATAAAAAAAAAGAAATGGATTTTGACAAGGAGGGAAGCCTGCAACAAGTTCGACTTCATGGAGAGTAATCTTGAGAGAGAAATACAGTGCAAAGGTGTTTCTGTCAATTTGTTTATTCGTTCCTCTTCGCGATTTCGCGCTTATTGTTTTACCTAAAAATATAAACGTAAAAACGGGACAGTTCTTTCAATATGAATCTCATCTATAATAATTATCACTAGTACACGTCTTATGTACAATATCTCATATATATACAATAATGCGAGTATCGCTCTCATCGTCGCTGTTATAGCGTTGTGAAAAAATGATAACTGCAATGTAATGATACCGAATGTATTGAAACCGAGAGGCGTACAATACAGACCCTATTTCCGCTCTATATTCATATAGATAACACGATACCGATATCTGACCTGAAGGAAATAATTGTATATTCATTTTTATTTTCTTTTGAACACCGTATGCTCTCTCTCCTACAAGTTTCCGCAAACTCTTATAGGAGAATGCGATTCAGCTGGGAACTCCAATTTTCATAATTATGCAAAATGCTATACGATAAAATTCAGCATATTATAAGATTGCGGAGGACTGTGTCTGCATTAAGGCTGTTCTTTTTTTTTTTTTTTTTCCATTTGTTGGCAGATCCAGTACATGTGACGTGACTGTATGTACATGTGAATTATACGGACTAACAAAATACACATATACATTGATTGTGCAGCTTTTCTACTGGTAGAGTCTGTAGCGGACGCCGTAAGTTAAATATAACCATCATAACAACAAATTCGATTACTTCGAATTATACATCGCAGTTTATTGCTGAGTGACTCTCGACACAAAATCGATTGAATTGTTCATAATTATTAATACGACAATAAACATGATCTTGCTTTGGTAGGTTGCACTGCGTACAGTTTTCAATAATGAAATCGTAAAAAGAATTCTTCCGGCTACTGTAACGGATCTGAGTACAAAAATAAATTATAACGAAAAGAATTTATAATCAAGATACTTAAAACTTCCAAACATTTCTCCAGTTATTCACTTGTTTTACACAATCGCACTTAGTTTTATATTAATTTTTATCAATTGTTGAATAATTTCCTATTTATCTCTCTTTGGAGCAAATAAGCGTCTAGCATCATTGTCTTTATGAGACTCAGCTAAGCTCCATTATTATAAAATAATTTACAAGATATTCAACATATTTTTAACTAATAAATACAGTTTCCATCACACCTCCTAGAGAATACTGGACTATCGTTGAAGTCCATGAGAAATTGTGTGGTTGATTATCTCACTTGGGATATTAATAAAATATCAACAAGAACTTCAAAATTAAAAATATTAACAAAAATTTTTAATAAATTTTTAATAAATTTTGAATAAATATTCTTTTTACATATTAATAATAAATAATATTCATATTAATAATAAATAATTAGAAAATATCTAAATATTTTCTAAAGATTATGTATAAAGTAATTCTTGCAATGATATGTCTTCATTTTGTCAACATTCTAATTTCCATCTTAAATGTTCTTTTTAGAAATTAACATGTAATAAAAATTAATATTTGATGATATAAGTAATGCAAAAATCACAGATAGTTGATAAGTAAGATAATCATCCTCATCATACCTATTGTTATCCTACATAATATTTGGTCAAATCATTTTTTCCGATATAAATCAGTAAACGATGTTGACATTTTTATAACTAGCAGTGTTATATAAATAATTATCGCTACTAACATACGTTTTTTCAACCCACATGTGTGTCAACAAAGGAATCATTTGAAAATATAACATTGCTCTAAATTCTTGCTAGGTTGCACATACACGTAAGGATTTGAGGACAAAACAAAGAATTCATTTTGCTCTATATATAATGTAGTTTTTGATTCTGTTATACTATACATTTGTTTTGAGTTTGTATACAATCAAGTTAGATTACCCATTTTCTTTCTTATCTTCAATCTAAAAATAATAATACAGCGTCGTAATGTGATCATTGGAATGATGCTACTTTTCCTTCATATACAAAGTTTATTACAATGTTCTTTATTTCTGTATGTATATACGTGTATATGTGTTATACGGATGTTGTATAATATAACAGAAGGTTTATCCACATAAAAATAGAGAATTTTGTAGACTTTTTATCTTTTCCTGATATACACAATATAATTAAATCTCTTAATTAAAAATTATACTTAAAGCTTTAAATTATACATATATACACATACATATTTTTATGTGCAAAATAATAAAAGAAGACATAGTGGGTTGAATATAAATACATTATCTCAATTTCAAATAGCATCAGGCACTGTCAACCCTTCGTAGATTTCACCTATAAATTCAAGTCCGCATTTATTGTGTCTCGTTTAGATACACAAACGTGATTTAAATTTGATATAATCCTATTGTGGATTAGGTCTCGTAATATGAAAGAGCTAGTTACAACCTCGCAAAAAAAAAAATTACGCTACAACTAAGAATCTCTATTATCTCATTTTCTTTGTGATATTTTAATTTAATGAATTACATAATAAAATGCAATAAATTTTTTCATAATGTGCGACTTTCTACAATCTTTTTTTTCATACATAATAAAAGATATGTTTTCATTTTTATACATAGAGATCGTGAATGAGTGTGGTTGTTATTGTATACTGAATATCTAAATGTCCGTTTGTTCTTATAATATTGACGAAGTACACAACAAAATTTACAGACAATACGATTATAAACTATGATATTTTATTAAACTTAATAATAGATCACAAGTAGCGCTTGATAGATCAGATATAATAGAAAATGTAAATTGTGAGAATGAAAATATATAATTATTCTGTCCTAAATTCGACGCGAGCGCTAAGGACTGTGCAGCTGGTAGAATTATGCTGATACATTTGATTGCACTTGTACTTCCAAGGTTTTGTATGCGGATTCGCGCTTATATAGGATCAATATCATTCTTGTATCATTATACGCGCAATTTTCATCTTGTATGCCAGCATCCAAGACGTTTTTAATGTATGCGCCAAATGATGTCTGACAAAATTCCAAGATAATGGAAAAGATACATCGTAATAAATGATAAAACAAATGTGCGAACGTATATACACGTAACGATATATAAACACTCGTGTTGTGAATAGGATAAGAGAACTGTGTGTGAAATGTGTTTTACATTATGATTTTGTATTACATAGAATATCTCTATAATGAAAGAGATCTCTTTACGGATTAAAATTTAAAATTTAATTAAGTTTTAAGAAGAAATTGTACATATTATCAGAGTCGAGAAATATAATAGAATTCGATATATATGGCAAAATATTGCTCCATTTTTTTTCTTTATATCTACTAATGAATGTAAACGAATTATTGCTTTAATTCATGGCTACAGAGTGATACACTCAGAATTTCTACCAACTGATCACTCACAAAGCTAAAAAGTAAAACGTAAAAGTGAATGATTTCTATGGTTGACACCGAAAATGCTATTGAAATTTGCTAACACTTCAAGATTGCGCAGGCTCTTCCAATGATCATTAAAAACAGTTCTATCTCGAAAAGATCAAAACCGCTGTTAGAATCTCTGATAAAAGAGCTCTTTCACAATCTATATATTTCCTTCATATTCTATTAAGATAATGCCCTGATTACGCATATATCTTAACAATTTATCTTCGTGGCACCATTGTGATTCAGCTTGTGATTTAAAGCGCAACCATCTTCTTGAATGTTCTTAAGATACTCTTCTAACAGCGACGCCAAGTTACGTCGTTTAAAGCGTAATGATTCTTTTACTATGTCTTTCACAAACGCAAGTCGTATATCTAAGGTCCCCTGAACTTGATGTAAGTGTGAGAATAGTGTTGCATAATCTGAAATAAAATCAATTGATCATGTGTTAACGCAGTTGTGAATGATAACGTTATCGTTAGTGTCAAGAATAATATAGATAAGTGCCAAGTCTTTTGTTAGTCATTGATATCCTAGCGTTTCTCAAAGTATAACAAGAGAACCGGCACACATTGGAGACTTACTTTTTCCTCTTCGCCGCACTTCCTTATAGACGAGATCCCGGATGTTCAAATTGTGTCGCCTGATATCCTCCAATTCCTTTTTCGTTAGCTTCTTCTCCCTTTCGGACTTCGGCTCGCGTTTCTCCTCCACGTGATTCGTCAATCTCTCTTCGACACTATCCACAACTCGCACGCTATTCTCGATACAATCGTTAACAAGTAACCGACTGCACTCATTCTTTACGTTATCTGTCCGTTCACTTTTAACATCACCTTTTGACATCGCGTCAACGTTGTTAACTATCGGCGTCAAAACGGGTGGCGTGTCCATATGATTGTTAACATGCTCCACCGGGATCGGTTCGAAAACCGGAATAACCGGCATTTCCGCGAGTCCATTTACCAATTTCTCAGACGCGCTCGAACACGGCAATGATGCGTGACCCGGCGACACGTTGGGCAAACAAGTCAAAATCGGCGGAGCATTCATATCGACAACCGGTGTCGTCGCTGCTGCCGTTGCTGCCGTCACTGCTATTTGATTCTTCGTGTCCTCCATCACCCAAGGAATCGGAGAACTAGGCGGAGTGTTACTATAAGAAGGCCGTCGCACGATCACGTCTTTCGGTATGGGCCCGGGCTTCCTCTTGTTAGGCGGTGGTCTTGGGGAAGCCGAACCTCCGCTGTCCGATTGTGGCAAGGTACGCTTCAGACCGCCTTTCGACGTCGAGGATGTCGCGCCAACTATATCGATATCTGCTTCGTCTACCATCATCCTCTTGTCTATCTTGAATGGATTGCCTGTAATTGAAATACAGCATTAATTATTTTTCTGTTATACACTACGGAGAAATATCTTTCGTTGAATAATTACCAAACATATGCTGTCTAACTGGTACACTTTCGATTTCTCTCAACGGTGGAGTCATGCGTTTCAAATATTCTTGATAATTTCCCATTTGAGCTAAAGGCATCGAATGAACATAGTCGTCATCAAGTAATTTCGTATGCAATAAGCCGGGTTGCAAGAAATTCGCGCGCATCCGCACGACTTGATCGAGCAAAGATTTTCTTGGTACGTCAAAGGCATTCCTGTAACTGTGCGCGCCACGTTGCTGTTGTTGATTCTTCATTAGTCCGACGACGAAGCCACCGAACTCGTTCAGTTGGTCGCGGAGACCCGTGAATTTATCTTGTAACAAAGGATGGGACACCTAAAAGAGTGTATATGTAAACTTTAATACTTTTTTTATATTTTTTTTACAAAATAATTTTAAATATCAGAGATGATTTTTATAGTATTTTCGACCGCAGTGGGTTTTAATCTAGATCAATGCTGTCATAGTGCATTCGCTTTTTTCATTCGTCTCTTTTCCGTTCTCTTCAGATACAGAAAGCACTATAACAGCACCATCGAGATTAAAACCCTGCAATTGAAAATGCTATTAATATATCGAATCTTACCAAATCTTTTTTTAATGGTGTCTTCGGTACCACCCTTACTCCTTCGGTCACTACACTTGTGGTACAGTTAGATAAATTCTTTGTAAGATTCGAAACGGCAACCTGCTTGGAAATGACTTCATTGCAAAGCCGATCAAATTCGATCTTAGCCTGATTCTTTAAACGTTTTAGATAATTTAAAACACTATATGACAAAGAATTATCCATATTATCGGGTATCAATGTTTGTGCCAAAGGTGCAGATGCACCCATTCTGGTTAATGCTCTCCTCAACGACTGCAATAAACAAACAATGCTTTGATAAAAATGTTTTCAGTTATAATTATGTAATTATTCACAGATAAAGAAAAACTCACGGCAGCGTAATAAGTAGGCATGGTCCTTATGTAACCTTGGAACTGCGCTCTCCATTCAGGAGTCGGTTTTTGCCTGTGTACTTTGAAGAGCTCTTCTAGCAACGGTAATAGCACAGGATAGTTATAAGGCATAACGAAAAGATTTACACAAGTCAAATTTGTACTCGCTTTCAAGTAACCAAATGGATGACCGACTTCACTCGATTTATACGAGTTGGCAACGAATACTTGCCAACATGTCGTCGGCTGTTTCCGCGCCAGGATGTACTGCGTCAAAGGACTTGGCTCCAGCTCATACTTGTCGAACGGTAAGTTCTCAATCACCATTGGCTCTTGACTGGTACACGTGAACTTCACGTTCGGATGCGCAGATCGCGGCGGTAACGAACTAGCGCTCAGATCCGGCCAGAAGCTCTCGGGGATCGGCCAAAAACCTACAGCGAATCCTTTTTGGGCCGATCGTGGTACGTAAATCAGACGTCTGCAGGAATACCAAGCTGTATTTCCCGGCGCCAGCGCGTTCGAATACTGAGCACGTGATCCGTTCGTCGCGTTACCGTCCTCTTCGTTCTCTTCCTCGTCCTGATGTTGCGGTGCTTCGTTGGTCAACGGCGGTGGATCAGGACCGATTTTTTCAAAATTTATCACCACGCCCGATTGAACTTTTTGCACTAGAGAATCTATACATTGTATCATCATCCGGAACGATGTGATGCAATACGAACGACCTGTAACATCCAAGTATTTAAAGATATAACAATCAATTAAATTTAGAGTTTATCTCGATCTTTTTATAGCATATCGCGCGTTGCGAATGTTCTAAAAAAAAAAACCCCCCACCTCCAGTTACTTCGCACATCGCATCTATTGGTGAGGCGTCACTCGCCACCAAGCCGATGTCTCGTTCAACGGCCGGTGTTCCCGATAAACGCAACACTAAAGAAAACAACCTTTGGTCCCATCTAAACGGTTCCTTCGTCAGTTCCGATCCAGGTATTGGGGAATGCATCGGCAGTGTAAACTACAAGAAAAATTTGTCTTGATATAATGAAAAAAAGTCGTATTCCTTATTCTAATTGCAGCAGGAATTTGCACTTACATCTTGATGAACTCCACTGTTAGTTGTATACTTTCCTCCATCTGTTATAACAACTATAACAGATGGTTCTAAGTAAAATGGGCATCTTCCTTGGCCGTACGTGTCTATGCCGGTCTGCATGCGATTTATATTCAGGACATCCAATGCATGTTTCAAAGCAGCCCCTAATGTCGTCAAACCGACACATTGTAGATTTTTAAGTTCATTCATAAAGGTTGCCAAGTTTTCTTTCCATCCTGCCTGAAGAAACATAGTAAGAAGAACGTTACAAATACAGCTCAAATTTGACTCGATATAAGATTTTTTTTTCAAAGTATACAGTATATTTGTATAGAATGAATTCCCTAATATTTCTGTTTTAAAGTGCCCAAAAATATGCAGAACAAACTGTAGATAACATCAAATGCTTCTTAGAAAAATATAAATTAAACAATATAATTTCACGTCTTGAAAATTTCTTATATTATTTTAGATAATTTTACAATTCAAGGTCAATTTAAGAAGACATCACACACAATTGAATTCACCTTAACAGCAGTGATAATCCACAAAAAATAAAAATACATAACACACATATTAAAAAAATGTTAATAATTTTGACTTCAGAAGGAAATATTCAATAAGTTAATGCACTATATAAATATTCGATCATTCAAATTTTCAAGTTCGATTTTAAATGTTATTTCCGAAAATTCTTTGTGCAAGGATAATTTATCGAGTGAGAAGTTAATGTCGTGGCAAAAATGAGATCTCAAAGCGAGAAGGAAATTGCGCATTCACGTCACGTTTAAATTTCGCAAAATTGACGCGCAAAATATTGATGCGGGAGGGCGCCAGTGGCGTTTTCCCTCTTGCGGATAACATTTCTTTTTCTCAGCCATTTGCACCTCTAACTACACGCATCTTCCGCAACCGTGTGCACAGGATAGAAAACGAAGCGTGGAAGGGAAGGCAAAGGAACACGCAAAGCAGAGACACACGGTTGTCCGCTCGTTCGTATGTCTACTGTGCATTAATTATTCGGCGCCATTAAAACGAACCTAACCCAACTCGGAAACGTCTCGAGAGAGAAAGAGAGAGGGAGAAAAAAAGGGAGAGCGCAGACGCTTCTCTCGAGGAACATCCTCGCGCGGCAGGTCGAGGCTATATAGACGAAATGCAGGGAGGAAATGTGAACACGGTGGTGGGAAGAAAGCGAGAACCACAAAGAGAGAAAGGGAAGGGAAAACGCGCGTGGCGACGATGTACCTTGATGTTCTGAGGTGGATCTTCGAAGGTCAGGAGCATGTAACGATCTCCGCGGCTCTCCGGCGATCTCTGTCGTACCTGAAAACAGGATTATTTCCCATGTTTCTTTTCTTTCTGGTTTTTTCCTTTTGCTCGTTTATTTCTCGCTTTCGCGCGCGGACGCGCGCGTTTTCACGTACACACCACGAGCGACACACCACGTTCGACACGGTCCGCGGTACCCTCGTCACCGAGAAGGCTAGGTGCCCGAGCAAGAGAGAGAACGCACAGAATGGGAAAAAGAAAGAGACCGATATACTTCCCTCTTCTTCTCTTCCTGTCTCCCTCCATCCCTATGCAGCACGACACGATGACGAGGACGACGAGGACGGTGACTCGGCTCAGCTCGGCTCGGCGTGATGCGGCGCGGCGCGGCGCGGCGCGGCGCGGCGCGGCGCGGAGCTGCACGATACGGCGCGGTAACCTCGGGGCGTACCTTCACGAAGGTTTCCACGGCGCTCTTGGCTACGTCCAAGAGCGTGGGCCGTCCGCCCAAATAAGCCCTCTGATTCATGGAGGCCGACGTGTCGATCAAAAATACTATTATGGTCATCTTCGAGAGAGGGGTGACTGCTACAGCGACGGCGGAGATCCCGTCAGCGATAACGACGGCGGTGACGGCGACGACGTTGACGGTGGCAAAGACGACAAGACCCGGAGTCGCGCTCGCGCGTCGTTAGCGTACTCGTGCTCGTTTACTAACTGGCGGGCACCGAGACACGACTCCCGTCGTGCTGGCCCGTCGGAACTAGCTAGTTGGGCGCCCTACGACGGCGGCGACGGCGGCGGTGGCGGTGACGACGACGACAGCGGCGGCGTGGCGCATAGCTGCCACGACCATTGAACGGCTCTCCGAATACGCTCTCCGAAAAACTTCTCTTTTATCGTAACGGCGCTCGCTTGGTCCGTTTCTCTCCTCCCCTTTTCTCTCTCTCTCTCTCTCTCTCTCTCTCTCCGTTTGTACCGTTGCCGCGGCGTATGTGTATATACAATGAATACGTATATCGCGAGAGTATGTGGTCAGAGTGTAAGGATGCATATGTGTGCTGTGCCTCCTCTTTCTCCTCTCTCCCTTTGCCTTCTCTCAAGCGAACGTCCGTCACCCTCTCACTCTCTCTCGTTCTCTTTAACACGATCTCTTTAACCTGTCTCCTTCGTTCCTGCGCGCTCGCTCCGATTCGCTGTCCTCGTCTCTCTCGGTTCTGCGCGGCGCGCCCTCTCGGTCGGTCGAGTACGCGTAACGATATGAAGCGTGCCACGTGATCGCGTCCAACACACTGCCATTGGTCCCCCACCACGCCGCACCGCCGCTCGCGGCTCGTGTGTGTCGTACGCTGTTCTACACCAACCGCGTGCGGCTCCGTGCTGCACTCGCACGACGTTCTGTCCTCGTCCCGTCGGTGTCGCGCGCCGCGCTTGCCGCCGTTTCAGGTGCGAAAGGTACACGAAGAGAGACCTATTTCTTTTCCTTTTCCGACCGACGTGTCGCACATCCCAACGTTATACATACGCTTTGTAACACTTCGGGAAATACAATGTTCGATGTTCGTTTCGCGCGCCTTCCCTCTTACATTCTCGGCAACAACGCCGTAAATCCAAGCGATTTCAGGAAGCTTCTGAACGGACAGATAGATACTGTAGCTATTAATCGTTTCGATTATGCCAAACTACCGGCGACCACTGATAAAAACATCGGAAACGGCGCTGCGTAGGTGGAAAAACAACCATATTGATTTTGCAAACACGTTGCACAAATCCATTTAATCAATGCAAAATGGCAGTTTAATATTACTAATAGCAGCAGCAGCAATAATAATAAAAATAATACTTTATTGAAATACAGTAACGTAAAACAAACATAAACGATAGTTGTTTACGAGAGTAATTTTCAAAATACGTGAATTTGTAAATAAAATAGAATACAATTGTATAAAACTGTATATTAATTTACAGCCAATTAGATATAAATTTAATTGCGACGAGATATTATCAATTAGGCTTATCGCTGATGAAGAGCGTCGCGGAGCGTCCGTGGAACCGCGTCGAAAGATCTCAGCGAAAGTGCGGCGGCTCTCAAAGCCACAGAGATGCAATCAACTTCATCCAGGTCCTTGTGAATCCCGTAAATTATTCCAGCGGTGAGACAATCTCCGCATCCGCTTACGTTGAGCATCTCACCCGTCTCTGCCGTGCCGTCGACAGCGGGGTACAATCGAGACGCGACCGACGAATTGGCGATCAGCTCGCCACTTTCGTCGTAGAAGGGCACGTTTTGCGAAGCTCTTCGGGTCACCTGGAAGATAGAAAGTCAACTCTAGCGTGTCATTGACATCGTCGTTGATTTAAGTGCGCGTTCAAGGCACGGACCAATACTCCCTGCGCTCCCAAGGTAGTTATAATGACCGGAATGTATTCGATCAACTGTTCGGCCACGTTTCTCACAGCCGCCAAGTCCATACTTTCATCTACGGGGATGTTAAACTGTCTGCCTATGACTTTCAGCTCGTTCTGGTTGGGCGAGATGAAGTGTAGCACGTCTTGCCATTGTGCCCCGACTTGAAATAGCCTTGCCGCCTTTTGTACGTCCGTAGGCTCGTACCAGACTGTCGAGGATAATTAATCAATTTTTATTCGTTCCATAGATCTATTGAAAAACCATACAAAAACTATTCTATTGTCATTAAGCCATCAGATATCAATTAGTAAGAAGCTTGTACTAAAAAAGAAAGAGAGAGATAAGAAGCAACGAAAGAGAAAATCGGAAAAGATAAAGACATCTTTTTTTCTGTGTAATCTTCACGATGGGGACACGGAAAAAGTTCTTCCATAACAAAGCTCCGGGAGAGAAGAGGAGGGGATCATCGAAATTTAAGGGGAGGGAATATTCCGGGACGTGCAACGCACTCTAGCGTCCGTACATCAAATTAAGCTTCTACCAAGAGGAATCTCCTCCAAGAGGAAGTCGTGTACTTTTGCGTCCTAGGACGGACGAGCCGTGATACAACATACATATCGCGTTCGGAAGAGTTACTTTCCCTGTCATTCTTCCATTACGTAAATACGCTGGGTGACAATCGTGAATGATGGGGAAGACGAAGACGGGCAAGGCCGCCGTTATATGCACGGCGGTGGCGTTCGTTCTGGTGGTGATCGCATTCACCACACCCAATTGGCTGGAAACCGACGGAAAATTGGATAATCCGCAATTCGTCAAGATCGGTAAGGGCACGCACGATTGGAAGTACTGGGATACCACTGTGATCTATAAATGAACTATAAATATATGTAAAATACTTACAAATATTTACAAGTTGGACGTGGGCACGAGGGAACCAACTGTCACCTTCTATCGCGAGAGATTGTCGGATATGTAATAAGATTGATCGTCAGAAAATGATTATTTTTTTCCTATTATTATTGTAAGAAATTTAGAGCCATAAAAGACTGATTCACAGCCTCACGTAAGACTAATTCAAGATTGTAATGACCAAGCCAGACCCATTACATATTTCAAAAGAGATTGGAATAATCATTGTAAGGAATTGGCGCAGGCATGCAGACTAAATGTCGCCTATAATAAATAAAGCCTTAAGTTCGAGCTTCGTTTTCTCTAATTATTCTCTCTTATACTATTTACAATATTTTAAAATAGATTCATCTCTATTCAAATTTCTTTTCTGATAACACAACGTTATTGAACACGAGATACTTGAGTGGCAATGACAAAGTAATTGAGAGATACTTTCTTTCCAGGTTTGTGGCAGGTATGTTTCCAAGGATTCCAGGATCCACGACATCTCTATGATACAAGATTTTATGGCTGTTGGTGGGTGTTTGAGGAGGAGTATTACATCATACACGACATACTTCTGCCTGATTTTTTCGTCGCCACGCAATTCTTCTTCACATTGTGCCTGACCCTGCTTCTGATAGGAAGTTTCTTAACTATTTTGTATAGCTGTTGCTCTCGTTATCATGACAAATATCAGCTACTCCTTTGGGCGACCGGTGGAAATTTAACTCTTGCGGGAGTATGTGGCGTGATATCGGTGATTATATTCGGTGCCAGAGGCGACGGACGAGACTGGATGCCCAATTGGGAGCACAATGACATAAGCTGGTCCTTTGCCCTAGCTGTGGTGGGTAGTGTTACTCTGATAGCCGCCGGTATTCTGTTTCTGATCGAGGGACGTAGACATCGAAAGAAGCAAGAGCGAATATTGAACGAAGAACAAAAAACGCACACGACTATTTAGCACATTTTTACATCATAATCTAACGCGGATGATGAATATTGACAATATCAAAGAATCGCGTAAACATAAATTTTATTCATATATCACGGATAAATTCATCTAAGACTATAATTTTTTACCATTCTATATATCTACCAATATATATATATATATATATATATATATATATATATACTACATATATATATATATATATATATATATATATATATATACTCATTGCAATATTAGATTTATCGATATATTATCTATATTGATATTTTTTTAAGAGATTAGGATATAATTAACGTTGATATTTTATAATTAACTTTGCGTTGATAGAAATCTAATTGCGAATTCAATCCCATCGAATTAAAGGCAGCATTAAAGGTTGCTACATATGAAATATCTAAATGTAATAGCACAGTATTCTTTTTGATGACAAAATCATTCATATTTTGCTAAGTAATATGACAAGCACACGCACGGTACATACATATTATTGAGTATTTATGCAGTAATTTAGAATGTTTATGTACTTTTGCATTTTAATAACTTCATATATAGCAGCTTAGCGTGTACTAATTTGTAATGTGATGCGAATAACCAAGAATTCGTTATAAATTACATATGAAAAATTTTCTCTAAAAGAAAATGCATGACTAGATATTATCATGTTAAGTCCTATTAAACATGTCGCGACGTGATGCACATATCTGAATAATCCGTCCATAATCTGTATTATAATCTGTATTATTTTATAAAGTTTTATATAACGTTTGTGAAGATTAATTTTATATATGTACATAAGTCTTCTTACAGATATTAATGTTACAAGTTAACAACTCTCTCAACTTGTATGCCATATACAGGCGACGTAATAAAATATTTCTTAATCGTTTTTATAGCGTGTTATCACTCGGCTTGCACGTTCAAAATGCATGTTACAATCCTCGAATTAAATCAATTAAGCGTATCTCTGTGCACGGTGACCCACTTTGTTCTCACAAATTTATCGTAAATTATGAGACGCAGGTCTCGCGTGCACGCGATATGAAAGTGCCTGCTGTTTGACCTAATTTAGATTCTATTCTAATCGACCGGCGTTGCATTATCCACAGTTATGCCAAAAGGCGTGAATGCGTCATCGCCGATCGTGCGTCGAGATCTCGAGGTGACGCGTCCGCATCTTACGAGGAATCCTATTCAGCGATGACTCGGGAAGCGACACAATTTTCAGTGATTCAGATACAGGATGTGCGTTCCTCATTTCGACGAATAACTCTATACGTAAGACGTTTTTGGGGAGAAAGCGAGAATATAAATGGAGAGGGTGTAAATGAATGGTACGCGCGGTTAATTGTAAGAGGAGCGGAAGTTACGTATTAAAGAGAAGAGCGTTTCTCATCCAGCGAGCGGATGATTCGAGCCCGTTTTGAACCATCCGTGACCCGCGTTAGATATTTCAAGATAGAAACCGATCCAACGTTTCTACTTACAAATTTCTTATACAACACATCTCGATATATAAGCATTTAAAATTTTTCGAAAAACGGAATGTAATAGATGGCAATATTCGGCAGGCAGGATCCTAGGCGCCGAATAATTTTTTTTATTTATATATATAAATTCAAGTCTGTAATTGTCTGTATTGTTAATTACATGTCGCTATTTTTTACGAATCTGCAATATAACATTAAAATATTCTAATTTTTCTTATTTTTTTATAGAATTGTGCAAGTGGAATATTATTCTGATTTGCAAATTATGGAAGATCTAAAGTAAAGCTTAGAAACGTATTTATTCGCGGTTCGCTTATGTCCTACAGGATCAAGGTCGGAATGCGATCATGACGAGAGAAATTACACGCGTAAATAAGACATAATATACACGGTGACACATGCACCTTGACGAACACAGGGACGACGAGAGGAGTGGCAGGATCACACATCGCGAGTGTTTCCGAGAATCTCGAAGAATTTACTTCCTTGAAAGAAAAAACGATTTTTTTTTCCTTGCTTCGTATGCCGACTAAATTTTTTGCTCGTTTCAAACATCAATTTATTAATTGATTTCTTTATCGACTTACTTCACACTGTAATGCTTATTATTTCGCCGAGTTTCATCGCTCATTTTATTTTTCTCATGATTGCTTAATAGAGCTTGTAAATTAAAAAAATTTTTGTTTGCTCATAAATTTCATTTTTTTTAATGTTCCGTACGGAAAAAGATGTGCGATAAGAACTGGCCCCTCTTTTTTGTAACCCGAAGCCTTCTACAGACGATCCTGCTGCGCGGATTTGTTACGTTTAACGCTCCGCTCGTGGGATAGTCGCGCGTGGTTCGAGGTGAGACTCAGATTAGGTTAGGTTAGAACTCGGCCGTTCGCTCCGCCAATAACGCGGGACGCTTGGGTGTGGTTTATTAGTGCCGTGGGACCGTCAGGTAAAATTGTGTTTCATGAGAGCGTAGTGTTTACGCTGCGCGTCCAGGCGGCTGATCGGACGTCTCGGCTCTCTCTCTCTCATTCTCGATCGGTCTCGGGGCGCGGCGACATGAAGAAGAGGAGTCTGTCCGGCAACGTCGGCGTCGGCGTGTTCCTGGTGGGGTTCGTGTGCGTGTGCGTTGCCTTTGGCACGCCCGCCTGGTTGGTCAGCGACCCGCGGATCGTCGGGGCGCAGCTCGACCGACTCGGCCTATGGCGACACTGTTTCAGATCGCTGCCCAATCCCCAGGAGTCCGATGCGCCCAGACGATTCTTCGTCGGCTGCAGATGGGTCTATGATCCGTTCACCGCGGGCTACTCCGAGATCCGTGGCTTTTTACTGCCTTGTGAGTAATCATGTAACGAGATGAGATATATAGGAAGAAAACTGTCATTTTAAGTATACAATGAATATTTTAATTTTTTTTGATCTCTAAAAAGAGATTTGCTATTACAAAAAATAATAGAGTATCTCAGACTATCATTGAATTAAAACTCATTGACAATGTCAATAAATAATAACAATGACAATGTTATAATTACTATTATCATTTGATTATGTAAGAGTCTTCATTATTTATTTGATATATCTTTTATTATAGCGTTTATGATAGCCACGCAAGTCTTCTTCACGCTATGCTTTCTGCTGGGCTTGATATCGTTCTTTTTGATATTACTCTTCACTCTGTGCTGCGATCCAGAACGAAAAAGATATATCGAGCTGATAACTGTCATTGGTTTTTTGCTGCTGGCCAGTGGTCTTAGTGGTGGCTTGGCAGTCATCATATTCGCCTGCCTCGGTAATGCTGACGAGTGGATGCCGGGACACGACAATAATTATTTAGGATGGTCTTTCGCTCTAGGCGTTATAGGTAGCGTGCTAATACTGATCGCCAGTGGTTTGTTGCTGGTAGAAGCGAATGTACAACGAAAGAAACGAGATTATCTGAAAGAATCTCAAACGCGTTTCCAACTAGAATCTCGCGCCTAAAACAAACAATGGTTCTTAACGGTTAAAATAACCGTTCTTAACCATATACAGTAATCACAGCATTTATACTAAAAGTCTGTAGTATCATTCCGTCCATAAGGTGCAACTTTTTACTGTAGAACTTTTCTCTTTCTATAAAATGTACAAAAAAAGAAGCAGATCTGTATTAATTTAAGTTTAGACTAAAATATATAAGTTTAATATTTTTGTACGATATTTTATATATCTTTATACATACATATATATTACGTATGGGATTACAGTATTGTATGATAATATTGTTATTAATGAAAAAAATGCGGAACGTTCCGTAATAATGTTTCAAAATGCTAACAGAAAAATTCATGTATAAAAAAGATCTATGATTTTAGTAATAAGTTCTTTTTGAAACGTTTTTTTAAATCTTCCATTCTTTCATCGAAAGATCTTTTATTATAGTTTTAAAATTTTAACCTGTTGACTTTATTGTACGAACTCAGTAACTTTTATTTCTTTGACGAATTTTTCTATTACATTTTGAGACGGATTACGAAATGTCTCGTATATTGTACATCTTATATATAATATTGTATATTAAGATTCAAGCACGAAATTTAATTGATGCACAATACATTCATGCATATTTTTAACAGGTATATATATATACATATATATATATCCGAAGAAATATAATAGTTCATAATTCAATCGGATAGCAAAGTAAATTTTGTAACTCCGTCCTTTACCAAATAAAACTTCTAATGCAAGCTATTTATACTTTCTATCAGACTCTCTCAAATTTTTATATATTTGGAATTTAAATAAATCACACCTTGATAAAGCTATGAAAGCTATGAATATAAAATATCTACAATTCGCCCTTACTGATTACATAACATTATTTTCTAATGAAAAACAAGTTGAAATCTTCTGAACTATTTTTTTCTTAGCGAAGAAAGTATTAAATAAAATTTATTCAAAGTACTGAATTTTAAACGGGTGTATATATAAATGCTGTAAATATAAACACATTCAAATGGTACGCCACAATATCGAAACAGTCTGCGATATCATCTGTTGATAAGCTACACGCTCTCTCTCTCTGGAGTTGGCAGCAATGAAGCAACGCAAGGTGTGGCGAGGGTTTTGATAGAGTTGCGGTGACGAACGAAAACAAATAATTGTAAACGAACGAGTTATACGAGCCAATTGGCTTCTCATCGGTTCTTCCGAAAATTCATCATGACGGTGGATAAGCAAGAGTATCACAGAGCGTCCAGTGAGTAATTAATTAAGTATCAACAATATTTTACATAATAACCTGTATTAATCATTTCTTTCATGATAGACGCGGTTGTCTTCGGCGGAGGACTCACGTTCGCGGCGCTCTTTCTCTTAATGATGGCCTTTATAAGGTAAATATCCTCGTTTCTTCGTTATTTCGATGTGATTATTTTTATCGTATAAAAGCAATCTTTATCAACACTTCATTTGATTTTCAGTCCCTACTGGCTAGAATCGTATCAGGAGACCTTCAGCAACTTTAAGCACATGGGACTCTGGGAGTATTGCTTCGAGCAATTTCGATTCCCGAATTATCAGTTTGATGTACAATTTGATGGTTGCCATCATATATTTTCGCAAGAATATTATGTTATAAGAGAGTGGCTGCTACCGGGATGGCTCATGGTAGTTCAGGCATTCGTTACACTGGCCATGCTGCTCTCCATCTTTGCTTTTGCTGTAATCTCTTTGATCTGGGTACGTTGGCCACTGAGGTTCGTCTTGCATTATGAATGGATTCTATCATCTGTCGCATTTGTATGCAATGCAGTGGCTGGTAAGTGAATCTTCAAAGCTAAAGGCAGGAGACACCGAGACAACGAGTATTTTTTTTAACGAACATTCTTTGATTTTAGGTGCGCTTCTCTTCCTAGCGGTCTCCATATTCGGCGGGCAATGTTGGCGTCGGGATTGGTTAATGTATCCGAATTTCAATCACTTGTCATGGTCGTATGGTCTTGCAGTTATATCGTTTATGATTCACACGTTCGCCGCATTTTTCCTTTATCTGGACGCGCGGACAGGGTACAGATTGCGCAAGGAATCTCGTAACTTGGTGATGCAGATGCAACCGAATCCGCAGTCTCATCACGCACCGTCACGAAGCGGCTACGTTTAACGTAATATCAAACTGTGCATTTTGATGAGAAAATCAATATTTCTATATAAAGTTCTTACCGTTATTTTCGGATAAATAGGTGAATGATAAATTTATCTCCCGAGATGGGACATATTGGCCTATTTATGCAATTTCCGTCCAATTGTTTTATATAGAAACATAAGTAAAATATTTTTAAGTAAAATTTTCTAACATAAGAGACAACCGAAAAATTGGATGAGATAATTTAATTCGACACATGAACACATGTATTGAGATTATCATCTGTTTGTGAGCTAACTATTAACTCAATTTTCTTTAAGCTAATTTGCGTGAATAATATCCGTCCATTGTTATACTCACGCGTGCAAATAATTTTTTTACATTAATTTTTATATATATTTTATAAATATTTTATGTGTATGTATGATAGAATTATGTATCATTTGACTTACAAATGTAGGTAATAAACGAAAAGATTATTTTTCGTGAATAAAACAACAGTGAACTGCAGAAATTTTCACTTACCTGGGACATTTGCTTGCCATGCAATATCCAGCACGCAGCGCATGGTGTCCAGTTCGAGATTAGCATCGAGAACGATGAGACTTGCTTTTTCGAGATGTGACTGATACTCTTTTATCAACTTTGGAGTGATCGCGCTGAAGGATTCCATTTCGCTAATACAAAAGTGACATTCGCCGTTAACATTCAGTATTACCGTGAATCTGCAACATTAATAAAACATAATTAGGGTCATAAATATGAACGGAATTGCTGATTTAAAATTCATATATAATTTAAATATTTTTGGCATTTTATATTTTTAATTTTCTGCTCTACTTTTGACAGTTGTGAATTCGTGCATTCGATTCTTCTGGAGATTTATATCCAATTCCATCAAAACAGATTTACTTTAATCTCGGTTCAATTTGCTCTTCATCTTTTTCTAATTCTTAGAATTAGAAAAAGACGAGTAAATTGAACCGAGATTAAAGTTAATTTACGTTGGTGGAATTGGACATTAGACTATTTGAATAGTTCGGACACATTTGGGTTCGAATAAATGAATAATTTCGGATATTGTTTGGATAATTACGTTCTTAGAATGTATATTATTCCATTGCATTGAACAAACTTTTTTTGCTATTGAATATTTACCAACGATGCGACAAGAGGATTCATACCTCGCGGTATCCACGTTCGATATGCATTTTACCATCTCGGCCCCGGCTCCTAGGCTCTCAAGAATATCGTTCCCATGCTCGTCGTTGCCAACGACGGATATCAGACGTGTATTTTTTAAACCGAGCTTGAGCAATGCGTCGGCGACGTTTCGACCAACCCCACCGCAACTGCGTCTGCTTCGCCCAGTGTGCGTTCTACCGTCATTCTGAAAATGAATCATTTTCTTCAAGATCATTCTGGAGGATCGACACAAATTTGATTGGTTGATCGATCTTTCATATGGATATTATATTTTTCATGCGACGAAAAAGGAGAGAAATAAGAAAGAAGAAAAAAGAAATGGAAAGATTAAATGTTCTTGAAAAGAATGCATTGTGGAAAGAGCGTGCATACGGATTTTTTACAGATCTAGCCCTCGGCAATAAGGGAAGTTTATTTTGGGTGCTCCCGTTTCTCTCCGGCTTGCGACAATTCAATTATACGTTGAGTATTCGCTTCGGGGTCATAGCGGGTACTTAAGGGAAACACAAACAACAATCTCTGCGATATCCAAGTCGGTATAGTGTTTACCCCTTCCGCCTCTTCATTCCATCCTTATGGCTTAGTATATAGTATATAGTACGACAAGTGCACATATCTCCATTTCATACATACACATACTCTCTCTCCCCCTCTTCTCCTCTCTCTCTCTCTCTCTCTCTCTCTCTCTCTCTCTCTCTCTCTCTCTCTCTCTCTCTCTCTCTCTCTCTCTCTCTCTTTCTGTCTCTTTCGTCACTTGTACTACGTCCGATGGTTAACCCATACGGTTGGTACATTTTTATCTTTCCATCTCTTCCTTCCACCTCGGCTCTATTTCTACGTATTCAATGCTGTGCTTGGGGTTGCGCGCACCCTTTTGCAATCTGAAGTCCGCCGGTCAGATCTATTTTTTTCGCGGTAATGTTACTTTATTTCATAAATAAGACAAGTCCCATCCAGCTTTTCGTAATGCAAGATAGTGATAAAACGAGAATTTATCTCGTGAGCCTGTGTGCCAACTCGACCATTGTCCGCTAACAGATCAAAGCGGAGCCCACCTCGCCCTCTGATCAGCCGCCCTTGCACACTCCCTTTCCGTGTCTTCCCTCTATCTATCAGTCTGCCTCGCGAGTAGCCGCGGCGGTGGCGGAACCTCCTCGATCTTCGTGCCAGTCCGGTTGCCTATCTCGGGCGCTTCGACCGTGACCACCCCCGCGGTCCACGTACCCCGAGTATTCTCCGTGTGTTCTCTACGTTGGGATAAAGAAAGAAGAAGAGAGAAAGACGGAGAAAGAGAGAGAGAGAGAGAAAGAGAGCAGAGAGGCTGCAAGATAGACCAAATAGATAAGTAGAGTCGCGCGTGTCCGCCTGAAACGTCCGATGCCGCTGGGCGTGCGGGACAAGAAGCATTGGGCGTCGTGATTGCGGCGTCGCGACGACGACGACGACGGCGACGGCGACGACGCTCGGTCGCGCGCACGAGCTCTCAACTTTACGTGATCCGTGGCAGTGAGAAGCAGCGCGTCGCGTCGCGTCGCGTCGCGCCGCTCCACGAAGCGTCGTGCGAGCGACATGCGCTACGGCTGGCGGTGGCCTTGTCAAGTGTCGACTGTGATCAGGAGGACGGAGACCAGGCCGAGATCGAGGACGAGGACGAGGACAGCGACGAGGGCAACGGTGACCACGAGGACAGCGACGAGGACAACAGGGTCAGGGGTAACGCCGGTGACGAGGAAGCCGCGAGCGGAGTTGTCGACGATGTCAAGGTGCTGCTGGTGAATTCGCGAGCACGGGACGCATGACGAAGAAACGCGGCCGACTGGCATGAACGACGACGTCCTGGACGACGTTGCCGAGGAGGATCCCCGCGGCGATGCCCGTGAAGGAAGCGCCACGGGCACCACGACGACGAAGACGACGACGACCGCGTCCCTCGTGCGCACCCCGACCGCCGTACGGTCGGCCCGACTGACAACACCCGGCCGCAGCGATTCCGCGGCGGTCCCGGCGAACGAGATCGCGCCACCGCAACTATCCGCGTGCACGTAGGCTGCGCCGATCGGAAATCTGCGTCGCAGAAGATCGCGCGAGCATCGAGACGACCCTCAGTGACGCGAGACACGCGACGCCCGTGGCATTTCTCATCCAGCTTTGATTCCCTCGAACGTTTTGCGTTTATGCGGATTTCGTCGCCGACGGAAATATAAGTCGGATCTGACGTACCATACTAACATACTGACATACCATCGAGGGATCCAGTTTCCATAGAAAGAAAGGACTCTATTTTCCTCCCTCCGAAGATCTCTGAAGAAAAAGTCTCGCCCTTCAAAGGACGAAGATTACCAAGATCTCATAAGAGAAAGGACGCTTCTTAACGTGGTGCCTTTCGTTCTAGGAGGAGTCTTGGCAGAGGTATCTAACGAATCGAATAAGCCGGGTATTGCGGCGTCATCTCTTCGCGCAACTTCGCGGTCCTCCTCGAGGCTTCCGCGATGGAATCGCGTTCGTTCTCGCTCCGGAAAGGAAACGTGAGACCTTGACGCGTCGCCCGAGGAGAGCGATTCGAGGAGCGTGCTTGAGTTCGAGGGCCCACGCGTCCTGCCGACCTTACGAACAGGCGCGATCAGCGCTCGTGCGGTCGGCTGGAGCCTAAGAGAGAAAGAGAGAGAGAGAAAGAGAAGAGAGAGAGAGAAGAGAGAGAGAGACCAGTTCGCGTGACGCGTGACGGCGTGTGGCATGCGGCATTCCCCGTGGTTGCATGCGGCGAAAATAGGACGAAGCGTAGCGAGCGACGATAAATTCCTTCGGGAAGGTCGGGAGGAAGATTGCATAACGCCACGTCCCTCCCTATATCCATTGCCGCCTACCAGCCCTTCTCCTCGTTCTCCTCCTCCTCCTTACCCCCCCCCTTTCCTTTTTCGTCGCGCGCGCGCGCGCGCCTCCTCGTTGTCCTTTCTCTCTCTCTTACTACTTATTCAGGTTTATCCTTCTTCAGGAATGTCACCCCTATATCAATATCTAATTAAAGACTGTCCGATAATAATCTTTTTTTATCCCCGCTCCGTAAAAACGTGTAGTTCTACTCCCCTCATTCCTCGCTTCGATATCCGGCGTCGGGAAAGGATCGCACGCGGCACATTGTGCGACATCGATCCGCGCGCGCCTCTTCTCTCTCACTCTCTCTTTCTCTCTCTCTCTGCTTTTTTCCTTCTGTGGGATTATGTAAAGCAGGCAGTACCGGACGCCGGCCAGGACGTTGACTGCTCGTCTCCGTCACGTTTGGGAATTGTTTCTTCGTACGGACGAAAAGAGAGGTAATCGCGCACCGTCGATGCCTCTCTCCGTCTATCTTCATCCTCTCACCTTTCCTCTCTCGCTCTCTCCCATAACCTTCCACGCCGCGTCGCATATGTCGGTGTGCGGAGCGCGCGCTAACGCGCAGGGTTTAAACGATCGATGGGCCCTTACCGCTCTCTCGCTCTTCCGTGTGTTTTCATTACAATGCGCCACTCGCATATACTCGTGGTGTCGGACTGCCTGCATGCATGCAACGCCGAGTGCCGACGCACGGAAACGGGAACACGCTTTGGCGCATCGCCCCGGTCGAGCTCTCTCGCGTCGGCGATACACGTCCCTATTCCCGATGAGAATGTAATCCTAAGGCCATCCTAAGCCATCTGTGAATAGAATAGATATCCGCAGATCTTTACCAGATGTTTTCAGCATGTCTACGATTTTTTTTCTCTTTTTCCTTCGTACTTTGTTTCCTATTCGTATTCTCCGCGTTCGCTTTGTTCATTCCTTCTTTATAGCGTGATGCGACATATACATACATACATACATACATATATATATATATATATATATATATATATATATATACATAAACACAATATATATATATATATATATA